TGGCATCTAACGCCCTGTATGAGTCCCTGTTCCCTAAACCTGTGTTCATGCACCTGAATTTTACTAGAGTCCTTGACCATTTTGCTTCTTCGATGTGAGGTTGCATTGTCCACCATTTCCTAGGTATTGGGAGAATATTTAGGCTAGGTAGGTGCTGGACTCTTTGTAGTATTCCTCTTTTGTGGTGTTCCAGAAGTGTACTGTGCTTCAGTAACTTTAGTGTGTCTAAGTTTAGGTTGTGCTGTTTGATTAACTTGTTTATGTATTGGATGTACATTGTTTCACCGTGAGATTTGTTCCATTCCATACATGATTGTACTAAATGACTTCCCTTAAATTCTGGATCATGCGCTCGTTGGTAGAACCTTATCACTGATTCTTCCAAAAGTAGTTGTATTGGTTTCCATCCCAGCTCCAGGTTTACTATAGGGTTTGCAGAGGATTGCGGTATTCCGAGGATAGACTTTCCAACCTGTTGCTGTATGGTTTCCAACCCATGTATTATATCCTCTGAAACTGGTATTACATCTGCAGTGTAAAGGAGTCCTGGGAGTGCTATAGATCGCCAGATTGTCGATAGTGATTTTACTTTGTCTGGTAAGAAGTTGCCGGTTGATAGGATTACGTTCTTGTACATTTTTGCTTGCTTTAGCATCTCTTCCCCTTTATGTTTCGTTGCTCGTTTCGTTTCGGAGTATTGCATGACTCCGAGGTATTTATATGACTCTACTTGATCAATAATATCGGATTCAGATGTACCGTCACTGGATACAGAGCAGATGAAGTTTTGTTCTGGAGTTATTATATTGGTCTTTCCAATAGATACCGTCATCTTGAAGTCAGAGCACCAACCCTCCAGAATGGTTCTAAGTACATTTATGCTTGCTGAGTTGTCCGCGATTAGAATTATGTCGTCAGCAAATAACAAGATCCCAATTATTTCACCAGAATCCAAACGTACGCCTTGTCCACTACATCTTATTCGCCTTGCAAGTTCTGACACGTATATAATGAAGAGTACGCTACTTAGATTGCAGCCTTGCCTGAGGCCTCTCTGCTGGTATTGTGTTTTTGATCTAGTTCCTGTGGAGGATGTTGATATGTTATCTTGGAAGTAGTAACTCGTTAGCAGTGTGATGAATCGCTCAGGAAAATTTAATTGTCTCAGTTTCGCAAATAGTATATTCCTGTCTACCCTGTCGTAAGCTTCCTTTAGGTCTACAAACAGCAGGTAGGAGAGTTTTTTCCTGCTTTTATTTAGCTCCAGTAAGGTATTAAGGATGAAGGTGTTATCGCTACAGGATCTGTTTGGTCTGAAGCCATTCTGCTCTGGCCCGATTATATCTTCGACCTCGATCGACTCACTCACCCTTTTTGCCATTATCTTTGTCCATAACTTTGACACACAGCTGATTAAGGTGATTGGTCTGTAATTAGTTATGTTTGTGTTAGGTGGCTTCTTGAGTATTAGTGCTATGTCTCCTTCTTTCCATGAATCTGGTGTTTGTCCTGAAATCATTATGTTGTTGTACATATCTAAAAGTTTCTCTCTAGCTGCTGGTCCTGTATTTTTTAGCATTGCATTCGTTACATTATCCATTCCCTCTGCTTTGCTTGCATCAAGATCATCAATGTTTATACACAATTCCTCCATTGTTATTGGGTTCATTATATTTTCTGCTGTCTCTTCATTCAGTTTTGTTAAATCTGGATTTTTCCAGGTTATCTCCTCTTTATCATATGATGTTAAAAATTTCGTTTCAAGAAATTTCTCTACTATAACATTCATTTCTGCTGGGGTTGTTGTAAGCCCTACATCCAATTCAAGAGCTTCTTTAGCTGATGACTTTTTTGGTTTTGGATTTATCAGTTGCCAGAATAGTTTCTGCGCCTTCGTACCCTTTGTATTCAGCAGTTCCCGCATCTTCCTTTTTGTGTTAAAGGCTTCCTTGTAAAACTGTGTTCTTATGTTCGCTGTCTCTCTTTTAGCTCTTTCTTTTAGTTTACTAAATTCTTGATCTGTTTTATCCCTGTGTTCCTTCAATAATTTCTTGGTTTTTTTGCTTGCTTGTAACAGTTGGCTCATCTTTTTTGATTGTTTCTGTTTTTTCATACGAGTTGTTGATGTTGATGGTATGACCGATCTGCCAGCTTTACATAGCTCCTCTGTTAAGTAATTAGACTGTTCAACTCCTGTTAGCTCATCAAAATTTAACTTTGATGACATCATTCTTGAATCAAGTATTTTCGTGTAAGATTCCCATTTCCTGATGTGTCGTAGCGGATTCTTTGTTTTTGGGTGTGTTTCAGTTGTAGTTTGACTGCACATTTTAAATTCCCATAATAACGAACTGTTCAATGGTAATCTTATTTATTAATAAATCAATTCTCTGGTTGATTTTAAATTTTAGTATTTTTGAGTCTATATCTTCTAATATATTAGACAAAATGGCGTTAAAATCAAGATTTTTATTGACTCCATTTATAAAACTCATGAAAGTTCCTAGATTCTGATCAAACAAATCCCCGGAAGATAACTTAAAACATTGTTTACCATCCATTAGAATACGACTCTCATGCTTAATTTTTTGCAAACTATCCTCAATTTGTTTACTAACTTTACTAACTGCCTGTCTGGTAACTCGTGAAATTGAATTTAGACCTATGATTGCAAGGACCAGTTGAACTATTTCTATCATTTTTTCTGAAATTGAGTAAATCCTGAACATTTGTAAATAATGAAAAATAGTTTATTGAAAACTATCACAAAACATAACAATATAAAATTTTATGTTTGGAATCCCTTTCTTATACAAAATTACAAAATATTTCATTGAGAAACCGTGATATTCAATAACCATTAACTATATTGGTAGAGAAAATGAAAAAACGAAAAAATGAAAAAATGAAAAAATGAAAAACCTTTTTTAAAAAACAAACAAAACGAATATCGAATTGAAATTGGTGCCTTTATAATGGATAACAAATGTAACCTGACTTTAAATATCTTGAATCTTTTCATTCTAAAATTAGCTTAATGAGTTAAGCTTAAAATAGATTTGTTAAAAATAAATTAAGTGGTGCCTTTCAAATGGATAACAACTTTAGCCTGATTTTAATTATCTTGAACATTTTCCTTCTAAAATTTTCTTAAAGAGTTGAGCTTAAAAACAGATTTTTTAAAAAAACCTAGATAGTTCTATAAATGTGGCTGCTCGTGTAATTTAATCAAGTTGATAGTATAAAAGCCAAAAACTTGAAATGTAGCTTTTCTAATGCTTAACAAGACTTTTAAACTATTTAAATCCTTATTTTAAGGTATAGAGAGTTGAGCTTCAAATAGAATTCACGCCCTTATAAGTATCTAGTATACTACTCAGAACTTGATAATTCTCGACGTCTGGCTGCACGTTTTATTGGAGGACTTGATGACGATTCCTTAGAGCTAAAGCCGTCCGATTTCCTTGTATAATAACCTCTGGATTCTGGAGTGCTTGATCTGCGATCCTGAGAACCAGAGCTTGATGATGAAGAATGTCCTGATCCAAAGGATGAAGTACTAAGTGTTAAACCCTCATCAAACCCTTGGAGATACCGATCGATCTTTTGCTGGGAGGAATCTGTTTTTTTTACCAATTTTTTGTGAAAAATTATGCTCTTTTTTCCTAATCATTGGCTTTCTGCTTGCAGACTGATTAAACTTCTCCGAAAATTTCTCAATCTGTTCACCATGTGCTTTTGATGGGTCAACATATTTCCTGGTTACTTTGACAGTTGCAAAGTCCCTTCGTTTTGGTGCGATTTTGATTGCCCATTCTGAAGTTGAGGTCACCTTATTAGAAGTTTTGGATACTACTTCATAGTTCCAGAAAACCATATAAGTTTCTTCTTTGATCAGCGACGATAATTCCGTTATCTCAGATTCCTCTCCAAAAGCCCAGACTTGAATAGATTCTCCATTCCTTCCTACTGTAAACACTAGGTTATAGCCTACTTGAGCACTGCTGTTTAGTCTTGGTCCTGCGGACTCTAGGATTTGTCCGTAAAAGGCTCTTTTTGTGTGTTTTCCAATTTGATCAACCTCAATAGGTTCGATCGGCTCGTCTTTCTTACGAGATTCCCGTTCCAAGAACCTAGAAGGCCAGAGGAATATTTTTGTGAAGCTGTTAGAGAACGAATCTATAAATTCCTGACTACCTTCTTGTTTTCCTGTAGAATCCTGTGAGGTGATGCTCATCTCTTTCTCAGAGTCTTTGTTCCTGTCTACCTCCATAGAAACTTCTTCTTCATGGTTTTTAGAACCGGTTGAAACCTTATTTTCATTTGTTACCTTTCTATCCGGGGAGAATGATATTCTCCTGTACTTCTTGTTTTTGGCTCCTACACCACCATTTTTCGATTCTTTTGGAGTTGATGTTTCGACTGGTTTAGTTTCCCCAATATTTTTGGTAACTGAAGTTTCGAGTTTCCCTTCATCAGAATCTCTATTTGGATACAAGAACCGTTTTACTCGCTCTTCATCTAACTGGAAACCTCCAAAGAAAGTAATATAACCATGTTGGACTAGGAACAAAACTACTTTGTTTGCATATGAAGTACTCATGTTAAAACGAATCTTTATGAAATCTACGTTTAGCTCAGTTCCTGGTTGAGTCAGCTTAAACTCTTGTTTGAGAAGGGAATTCATAACACGTTTCAGCATGAGGTTAAAGGCGAAGGTGGAGTGTTCTTGTTGGGACTTATTTGGTTTGGCGACAAACTCTTTAACGCTTTCACTGGTACAGTTTATGTTTTCTTTTACAGAGCAGGGGCCGCAAATGTGTTCAATGCTTATATCGTAAACTCCATAGCAATCAGCATGTGCATACCGTTTACATTTTATGCATAAAAGCATTCCATTCTCGTAACTTTGAAAGGAGCATATACAATATATTTTTCCCTCCTTTAACATCTTTGAGATGAATGTAGAAGTCTAATTTAATGAAACCACGCCATTAAAATTACTTGTAAGAAATCTCGGGCTGGATCGATGAACTCTTTTTGACAGTACCGATCATACATCTCTCATCACCATAGGATTCCACTTCTCCCCTGATATTTAGTATATTGTATATGGGTTTATACCACGATTGAAGAAATGTTTTAGTAGCGATTCAGCTAATCCATTTAACATCCATGTTAGTTTAACATCTAATCCATTTAACATCCATGTTAATTTAACATCTAATTGAATTATTTGCTGATGAAGTTATACTATATCGTGTTACAAGATTTCTCTGGAATTTACTTTTTGTCAAAACCAGTATTGCAAATTTTTAAAAAAGAAAAATTACTTTGTTTTCCTCGATCTAGTAGCGACTCCTCTTCTGTTGTCTTGTTTTCTATCAGAAAACTCTGGGGTTTCCCTCTGATCTATCCACCTGAGAAGTTCAGTTTAAATCTACTACTGATCATATTTAAGAGAATTCATTATTTTGATTTATTTTACTTTGAAAATCAGATAAAGAACTTATCTGCAATATTTCTATATTCCATTTCCCTGTAATACTTGGATTCTTTCTAATTTTAACCGAATCAATTACTTGGTATTTCTAGAATCAGGAGAGATGGTTTTGCTGTATTCTCTTCTTGTAATGAGCGAATCATTCTGGAATGTTGCTTTGTTTTGCGAGCTTGTCTCTTCCTTGACTGCTTCATCATAGGAATGATTCCATCCTTTATCATAGTCTGTACTTCTCGACCTTTAAAAATGTATCTAAATTTGAGTTAAATTTTAAAATCATTTTCCATTCCCCTATCTCTTTCATTGAATATAAGATTGAAAGTTTAGATATTACTTGTTGTGAGCATATGTTCCTCTTCTGTTTTCTTGGTTTTTATATTGGTGTTTGAAAGGACAAGCTCGTTCCCTCCAACATCTTCCATTTTGATAAAACTTACAGATTTTCATTTTGTCTGTAATTAACTTCATTAGTTCTTTATAACTAATTAAATGATCTTTTCGATTAACTCATAGGTTTCCTCATACCCGGTTGTGCTTCCGAAATGCAAGGCTCTTTCGAAAGTCCTATTGTCCTAATATATTAAATTATTTAAAACCATTACTAATGTAATTAGTTACTAGGACATAGTCCTAAAAGTGGACAGGACCAGATTGAACCCCACATCCCATTCACCACTGCTATGGTCGGCAGCTCCTGGCTCTTTAAGACTCACAACTGGTGTATTAAGAGATCCCCATTAAAGTAATCAAACTCCTCAAACTTTGTTCCTCAAAAATCTTTCCTCAAATTCTATCCCCAAATTCTTTCCTCAAACTTTTTCCAAATTCTTTTCTCAAATTCTTTCCTCAAATTCTTTCCTCAAATTCTTTCCTCAAATTCTTTCCTAAAATGATCATCCTAGGTTCTTCTCAGTTATCAATTGGATTTAAGCAAAAGAAAAATAAAAATAACCAGTTGGAGTGCTTAAAATAGCCTAAACCATTACCAAACATTAAATAAAGCCAGTTTAAGTTTAAATATGAACAATTATTAGCTGATGACAGACAATATTTTCTTTTTCCAAAAGTTCCAAACTGATGGTAAGTCTATGCATCCTATGCAGCCGTATATAAACTTGTATATATTTCTTATATAAGTCTATGCATCCTATGCAGCCGTATATAAACTTGTATACATTTCTTATATAAGTCTATGCATCTATGCATCCTATGCAGCAGTATATAAACTTGTATATATTTCTTATATAAGTCTATGCATCTATGCATCCTATGCAACCGTATATAAACTTTTATATATTTTCTTATATAAGTCTATGCATCCTATGCAGCCGTATATAAACTTGTATATATTTTCTTATATAAGTCTATATGCATCTATGTATTCTATGCAAATGATAAAACTCGTTTTTAACTCCAATGGTCTCATATCGTGCCTGGTTTTAGTCGTCTTCCTATTTCAGAGTTTTCTGGTTATCACTGTACCTACCAGGATTTTTAAATTTTAAAAATAGGGTTATCCACAAAGAATAAAACTGTATAGACGACGTAAAACTATTTAAAATTTGACGATCCCAAGATTAAAGTAAGTTTTCTGCCTTGAATATAGTTATAAATTAGCTTATTTTGTGATTTGGCATTAAGGAAGAAATACTTTGCAGGTATTGCTGGTAGTCATGAATATCAGGATACAAACAGTATAAATTCCTTACAGTCGTATCACACAGTCTCATCTTTTGTGGGTAACCTTGCATTTATATAATTTGGTTCATTGTTTTTTATGTAGTGAATAATAACTTATAAACCTGGGTTGAAGCTGCTGTTACTGAAAAAAACATCAAATAGTGTCTATAGAGAGGGACCGTCCCTTTCCGCTCAAATTCTGAACGAAAAATCGGCTTTTTTTCCGGCCACAGTTGTATTTGAAAAGTAAGACTATTACCCATCAACAGCGAATAGGCTGTTTAGTTTACCCTGAAATTACCCAAATAAGTAAACGGTCCCTTTAAGTGAAAAAGTTGTCTTCCAATTCCTAAGTTTTATGGCTCTCACTGTATCAAGGAAAAGAAGTAAAATTAAGAGATGCGCGCATTAATTCATATCGTGAGCAGACAGCGCACATTAACTATATTTAAACGTGTGTAAGGAATGTGCAATTTATATACGTCATTCGTGTCAATGGGGGTCCTGGGAGTGGCCCCTATTTAGTTCAATAAAAATACTGTTAAACACACTTAGCATAATAGTACAAGGGAATGTTAATTCTGTTAAAACTGTCAAGCTGTGAAATAGAAAACAGTAGAATTCTCGTTCCTTATTTCTTCTTTTAGTTCTGCAATGCAGTACAGTAATAACCAAAAAACTCCAGAATAAACAGACGACTTTTAGACAAAAAATATTTACTTTAAATAGGCCAATGAGCATTGTAGTTTAAAAGGCCAACTCGCTAAAATAGTGATTTAATAAGTGTCTAGTAAAACGATTTGCTTTGTAACACCATGAAAATAACTAAGTATTGTTTAAAAGTCGTCTTCGTAGTTCAGAGTTTTCTGGTTATCACTGTAGCTACCAGGATTTTTAAGTTTTAACAACAGGGTTATCCACAAAGAATAAAACTGTATAGACGACGTAAAACTATTTAAAATTTGACGTTCCCAAGATTAAAGTAAAGCCTTGAATATATTTATAAATTGGCTTATTTTGTGATTTGGCATTAAGGAAGAAATAATTTGCAGGTAGTCATGAATATCAGGATACAAACCGTATAATTTCCTTACAGTCGTATCTAACAGTCTCATCTTTTGTGGGTAACCTTGAATTTATATAATTTGGTTCATTGTTTTTCATGTAGTGAATAATAACTTATAAACCTGGGTTGACTTGCTTAGACTATTCCAAAAAATAAGAATCCAAAACTTGAAAATTATATCCTGTAAAAAATTGCCGTTAGTTTTTATCAAAAAACACGGAGTAAAAATATAAAACACACACGCATTTTCTCTAAGGCCGGGTTAGAATTTGGCATAGTGCAAGGAAAGTAAATATTAAGAATAAAAAAACTTTAAAATTCCATCACTATGGCGTTGTTCGTTTATTATACAGTTTTAAAATACCACGGACATCGCCAAGTTTATCAATAAATAGTATTTAAACGATTTTATTCACAAAGAAAAAATGCGCAAATTACAATTTAAAACTTGAAAAAATCAAAAAATGCCATAAATACTATTCAAATCAAATTTGGTAAATAACAAAATAATAAAAAACGACTAATTACAATTGATTAAGTAGATGCTTAATTCGATAGAAACAACATTTCAAATTCAGTTTTCGAAAATATAAAAAAATTAGTTAAAGCTCGCATAGATTCCATTAAAAAGTTTCCACGTATAAGGGACTGAAACCCATATTCAAAATTAACATCTATTAAAAAAGGACCTTCACCAATTCACAACCGTTCCATAAAACAATTTTAAATTGAAGTGTCGCCTTGAATACGTTAACAGATCCCTTTAAATAATTAATATATATTATACAGGATTTAATCTTTTACTATTAATTGATCACACAGAAAGCCAATATCAGTAAGAAAACAGAAACTTTAATTTTTTTTATAAATATCTGTAGAAATGGACATTGTTGTTTTAGGCTTTCAAGAGGCTCCATAAAAATCGAAGAAGTTTTAGAATTTTTCAAATTTGTAATCGTTACAAGTTTACGTTGGTATTGATAATATTTACTTTGGGAGTTGAATAATTTCATAAAATCTAACTGATAAAACATTTTTGAATTGTTTTAGTACTCCATAGAGTTTTGTTGAGCCTCTTTAATGATTAACAAACGGACTATTCCTTAATCTATACATGTCTGACAATAAAGTCCACACCAGGGTTTGCGCATTTTCGGATTTAAAAATATTGAGAAATCAGTTTAGTTTAGCTTTCCGCTGAATCATCTCAATGAAGATGGTCTCAAAATTGTTCTTGGAAGTCCTGAAAATTAGATTAATCAGAAAATGTCATTAAGTATCAGGAAATATAAGGAAATAATAGAAAATATCAGAAAACATGAGAATTCATCAGTTAATATCAGGAAATATCAGAATTCAAAGGTAAATATCAGAAAATATCAGAATTCATCAGAAAATATTAAAAAATATCAGAAAACATCAGTAAACATCAGAAAACTTCAGAAAACATCAGAAAATATCAGAAAACATCAGATTTCATAAGAAAAAAATAAGAGAAAACATCTGAATTCATAAGAAAATATGAGAAAATTTCAAAATTCATAAAAAAATATCAGAAAGTATCAGAAAATATCAGAAAATATCAGAAAGTATCAGAAAATATCAGAAAGTATCAGAAAATATCAGAAAGTAACAGAAAATATCTGGAAGTATTAAAAAGTATCAGAAAATATCGAAATATTTTACTCAAAAAGTCCGATAGTTATTAAAAATAAACCTTTATCAACTATAAGAATGTTTTTACAGCAAAATTCCAAATTACCTGAGATCTTCAATGACCCTGGCAAGCAGCTGGGCTGACCCTTTATTTGAACCTTCAGGTAGGAAAACTTTCATCCCGGAGTTTTTAGTGAACAGTCCTCCCAGTATATTCTTCTTTTCCTCCTGATAAGCTCATTAGTTATTAGGTTGTTTTCAAACTAGGGACTGTCCGACTGTCAGTATAATTTTAAGTGAACCTCTGTGCAAAGATAGCAAAGATAGCAATGCCATGTGAATTTGTCTGTTGTTTCTTGAAAGCAAGAAATGCGCAAGCCACCTTTTTAGAGCAAAAAGGGTTCAGAACTCAACGTATGACATAATTAATGATAGTAGCCACTTTTACATTTTTTTAAATGAAAGATATATTAGCTCTTATTTTGCGTTAAATTGGTGTAGAAATCCACGAAGAACTATTTGGAAATGCCGCAATCGAAAACGGTTAATTTAAAGAAAAAAACAAATTTATATAAATATAACTTAAAAAATATATTAATAAATTTTAATTACAGTTTTACTTTAAAAGTGATTTGCTAATTTTTGTAACAATTAAGGAACTAAAAATCACTGATTTGGTAAGCAACGATGTTATACTAAAAAAAGGGTTTAGAGGATAATTAAAAAATGATTTGTTAATTTTTGAAATAATTAAGGAACTTAACATCACTAATTCTTAATAAAGTTGGTAATCAACGATGTTATGTTAAAAAAAGGTTTTAGAGGGTTCCATTGTGAATCTGGCATGTGTTTCTAAAGTTAAGACGACAAGCACCTAGGATGTGGACAGTCTCTTGAAGTCCGGTATATGTATATATGTTACTTACCAAGGGTTGGATTATAATGTACCATCTTCCTCCTTCCTGTAGTACACTGGGTGGACCCTGGATTCTACTGAATTCAAACTCCCAGTCCATGCTCCAGCTTCCCAATACTAAACAATTTAAAATAAGCGTAGTTAAAAACTAAAAAAATGTTTTCGGTAAAAATCTGTAGGTTAAATAAAATAAATGATGCTAATGCTAATGCTTAATACTAATAATTATACTAATACTAATATCAATATTCAATAATAATAAGAATAATAATAATAAAATAATAATCATAATAACTTACCTGTATGTAAATACAGAAGACGTTTATTTGTCACCAAGAAAACCTCTTTATCCTAAAGTTCAAGAAGCAATAAGACTGCTCAGGACAATTAATATTAGATCAATGTTAAACATGGGGAATAACAAGAATTTAAAATATCTTATTTTACCGAAAAAAGATGTTAATGGAATAAAATATGGAATTTTCAAAATAGTAAAAAGAAAATTACCGGAATTGTGTATTCGTGAAGCATGTAGGTGTCCTCTGCAGCATACCTGCCCTTCTCTACCTGACTGAGTATACGCTGACCCTCAGCTTCCTTCCGGTCATAATACCGGACTACACCATCAGGATGGATGTAACGCGCCGGTCGCACACGCTTAAATTCATCTCCGACCTCTGTGGCACGTTTAACGGTGTCAAAAGTTCCACTGGCGAAGTCAACAATACCGCCGGTAGGCCGGGTAACCAGCCCGGCCACACCCTTTCCAACACCCTTGAAGAATCCGGACACGCCCTCCTTGCTGGCTCCCTCGTAAGGTTTCGTAAAAACGCCGGTCACACCGCCAACAAATCCCATGGAAAGATCTCGAACATTCACCGCCATCCCGTCCATTAGAGTTTGATTTTCCCGCCGTTTAATCGTCTCCCGCCGTTTATTCTGAAACTTTTCATCAAAGGTGAGAGATGCCAAACCTTTGCCAAGAGCTCCGGTTATCTTAGAAACCGTTCCAGCTGCTCCTCCAACTACACCACTAAACACACTACGGACTCCTATAGCCAAACCTTCAGCAAACTCCCCAGGTCCCTCTACAGCCCCCTGGAAGGGTTCATAGAAGAGATCTTCCACACTGCGTGCAACACCAACCGCCAACCCGAATGGATTACCTAAAATGTAAAGAACCAAATTATTTTAGAATCAATTATGATGAATAAAAAAAATACTATCTGTTGGCAAAAAAAGTATTAAAACAGGAACAATTATTCAGATTTCTTTAAGAAAATTGTTTAGTTTCCGCCTTTTTAATAATACAACTTCAAAACAAATTCAATAAAAATTAATGGTAAATATGATTACTGATTAGAAAATTAATTAAAAATTATCATTAAATAAATCAATTCTCCACCCAAAAAACGCATATCAATTACAGAGCCTTAATTTTTGACGTCTGATTTTCGTTTATCATTTTTAAATTCTACATTTAAAAACTTTGACGTTTTAAAAAAAGTCTTTTCTGAAATATGAAAAAAGTGCTTAAAATATTGTCATTATATTATTTTTAATTGTAAATTATTTTGTAGTGATCTGAAAAACATAAAAAAATATAATAATTACAATCATATTATGTTCAGCTTAATAAACATACTATCTATTTTAAGCAGTTAGCTAATATATCCATAACAGTCGGTGTACACTGTACAGTGAACCCCAAAATCTGTGGGGTAGAAAACGGCATTTCAGCAATCTTATGTTTATTTGACGTTGCGGTAGAGCAAATAGTTTTACCAGCAGCTTATAATCAATTTTTTAAAGTAAAATAGGTCAGTGTACTCTGTACACTGTACAGTGTACAGAGTATATACACTCTTCACAATTGCTCCAACCATATGGTTCATCTTTAATCAATGACTAACAAAATATAAAAATTTCCCAAAAACGTAGCCCACACCCCTGGAATTCAAAAACTTGATAATTTTAATCTGTAAGACAAAAAGCGAAAGACGACTTTAAAAAATGAAAAATAAAAGGTTTATGTTTGTTTTCTTAACTTTTTCTTTTAAACTATTGTATTGCAATGTACAGCCGTTTTGTAATAATTTTTTCCTTACAATTATAAAAAACTAATTATTGTTTAAACCATTATAATTTCTAATTTAAAAGATTTTAACTATATCTAGTAAAAAAAGAAAATAATTATTTCAAAAAATGATAAAGGGTTTTTGTTGTTGTTGCTAATTTCATTTCTCCTACCTATGACATCAAGGCCGAGTAGAACCACATACATCTGCTTAACTGCCTGACTAGTATAGTGTCTGGATATCTCTGTTGTCAGATCATTGAACCCATAGAACTGATGTTTACGTTCGAAGTACGCCAGTCTAAAGATGATATCATTGCTGTCTGTGATGGTGACCCCGAAGCTCTGGAGAAGAAGACCGATGAAGTTTGATCCTCGATGAGATGTTCCGTCCCGTCGGGCGTTGTGGGATGTCAGAGAGAAGCTAACATGAATCTTGAGTGGAGACATGTGGAGGTAATCATAGAAATCCTTTTGTCCCTGAGATACAGTTAGGATTGCGTGCTCCTGAAGAGGTTTCCTCGCCATCTCCAGGTCAAGCTCAAGCTTCTCCTTAGTATTCTCCTCAAGGATCTCTTCATCTTCAAACAATTCAGAGATAGCGTTCACAAACCCAAGTTCAATCTAGAAATGAAATAAATTGTATGAAATAATCTTTAAATTTTGGTTTACCTTCAAAGACTCAAACAAGAGACTACTTATATGGTTTTAAATGGGAAATTAACAGTAAATGACAAATGCAATACAGGTCACAATTGGAAACCCCAATCTATTCTGTAATCATAATTTTCTTGCATAATTAAAGAATCTATGTAAATGAAAAATGATTTTTTTAAAAAGGATCTTATTACGCTAATAAAATTAAGAGTTTCTATACATACAAATAAAAACTTATTAAATTTGGTAAATAATTATGATTAAAAAAAAGATGATTAAAATCATGAAACTCTACCTTTAGCTGCATCTCCTGTATGAGAGCATGAATGTATTTATACTGCTTCATATCTACATGTGCTGGACTAGTATACTCTAGAATAGAGAGCTCTATAAAGGGTTTGGGAACACTGTCTGCCATTACAGACTTAGGCGGGGGAACTGGAGCAGCAATTACTGGATACAGACATTCCAGCAGTTGATTGTCAAGCTGAATATGGTTGACTTTCATGTGAATTTGTCTTTGATGTGGTGATGTGCGGACCTGGAGCCATAAACCTTTCTGAAACTGTCTTCGGACCCGTCCTCGGTGGGGCTTTTCCATCCTTTCCTCCCTATAATCAAGTATAATTGAACCATCTTCTATTTCCCTTCTTGGGTTTGGGTTCTTGTTCACCCCTAGCAGACGGTTAAACAACTTGAAATCGTTTTCTATAAGGCTGGATTGATGAACAGTTAAAGGTCTATATCTTTGCTTCCCTTCCTTCCTAACCTCCCAAACTGTGTCACTGCAAGTGACAGAGAGGTATGCCAATTCCTTTCTTACACTCTCAGAGTTATTGACCAGGGAAACTCCAATTGCAGAGATTGATACTTCAATTTCCTGCTCAATCCTTTCCATTTCACCAGTTGTCTTAGCTAATCTCTCGGCCAAGTGACCATTATTGGTGAACAAGAGGACACGTTGCATTCCATCTAGAAAAGATACCCAGGATAAATATCCATTTCCTATCTTAAATGAATCATAGGCATCGCTCTTCAGACTGTTCTCTAGCGGTGGTGTGTTAAGACCCTGAACTGACCAGACTAAGGTTCGTCCTCCTGATGGTTTCTCCCATGTGTACAAACATTTCTTACCAGGAGCAAGAAACTTTCTGTTACTGGAACCCAGCTCTCCAAACTCAATAAACCAGGAGGGTGTATTATTCACAAGAAGAGCTGGTGCATATCCTGTTTTATACCTTGCTAGGGTAACTAGGACCTGGGAATTATCCGTCTTCACTCTTACATCAATACCTCCATACTTGTTTGAGAGCATGAGAAGGGATGTGTTTATGTCTAGAATAGAAAAAGGTACAGTTGTTTCAGGGTAATTTTCAGCCTTGCATATATAGGATTTCCCACCATAGATTGGCCAGATTGGAACACACTCTTTTGCAGGTATAGTTGTCCAACCTAGTTCATCCTCAACCTCCTTCATCAGGATGTTGAAGTCTGCGGAGTTGTACACCATGAAATACGGAGTGAAGGTGATTATCTTGGTAAGACTAGTGCTACTCTGACTAATCTGGATTCCGATACTGTACGCATCTTCTTTAGTTTTATCAAGACCAATAAAATTTCTCTTTAATGATCCTCTTCTTGTGTCCAGCTTGCATGTGATCTTACCAGTGTCTCCTATTGTATCAATGGTGAAGGGATCAGACCACTGAGATGAATCCATCTTCAAACTAATCTTTTTCTTTCCAAACAGTGATTTAGTAATATAAGAAAACATAAGTGGAAGCTTCTCATCGTCAGGGTAGTGAGCTACCTCACTACCTGAATCATGGCCCTTGTAGTACAGAGTACGCTTTGTCTTATTGACTAACCAGAAGGGAGCAAACACTGATAGAACAATGGTACCTTTACTATACTCCTTCTGCACCCCCAGATCTAGCCTGATGTTACTTGACTCTGGTTCAGTGCTCTCAAACCTCCAGAAATCTAATTCCCTCATGTTATCCTCAAAAACCTTGTCACATGCTAGATCTGTGTATCTCCATCCGTACAGTTTGAGGCGGATCATTGAGTGTCCATGTCGCACATCCTCCAGACATCCAATCTCCCCTTCAGTTAGTGTTTTGAACTCCTCTGTCTTTCCTGAGGAGTAGTAGAGGGGGATAGGAAGACAGTTCTTCAGAACAACAACAGGACGAATAGATATTGTGTAGATGCTACTACCCCGATCCCTGGATGTTTCTCTAAAAATATCCGTAGCCAAACCTTCAACGTTGAAGAAGACAGATGGATTTCCATGAGAGTTGGAGCATTCAATTACACGTCTCACACTTCTTGAGAGCTCAATTTCTTTCCAGGTTAGAAACTCCAATCCAATGTTCTGTCCCTGACCATCAAGAGAGAAGTAGAACCGTCCAAGTTGAGTGTAGATATCGGAGATGGGGGCATTCCATTCTTCTCCCTTCTCTAGTCTAGAGATTACTCGAAATTTTCCATTATTCTCTGTCCAAACCTAATAAACCAAATATTTTTACATTTATCTTGTTTTAATAATTTCTGTAAATTATCTCAAATAAATGTGGTTTTACAGGGAAAAAATATCAGAGGTAAAATTATTTAGTTCCTTGACGGGGATGGGATAGTAGTTCTTAAAGATGACTATGGACTGCAGAGTGATAATCTTGGAGCAGTTCTCCACCTCCACCTTGGATACAAATCCTTTCTCGTAACCAAACTCGCATCCCCGGAACTGGAAAGGGAAGAATCTCATATCAGTTTTACTGATGGGTAATGACAGTGGTGTAATTTCTCCAACAATCTTCAATCTAAAAAAGGGAGAGATGACAAAATTAAGATGTCTTTAAGGGTCTTAGTAAGCGTAATTTCAAGTGTCCCTCCATGCAAAGATGACAATGATGACAATAGCCTTGCAACCTTAATGTGATCAAAAATGTGCAAGATTACTTTGTTTTTCTCATCAAAAATTGTTTATTTCTGGGAATTTCTCGCTTATTATCAGCAAGAAATACGGATGTCACTTTTGCAGAGAAACCGCAATGGAAAATAAACTTTTAAAACTTGTAAAACTTGAAATAATACTTACAGCCCCTGTCAGCACATAGTGACAACTGTTTCAAAAATCAATTTTCTTCTTTCTTTTTTAAAAGCATTTTTGAGTAACAAATAGAAAGGACTATCAAAACTACCCTCTAGGAACAACCAAGGACTACACTCTAAGAAGGACTACCGTGGACTAACCTCTAAAGAAGAACTACCCTCTAATTTCTAGGAAGAACTGCTCTCTACATAATACTATCAATGACTACCCTCTAGGAACAACCAAGGACTACACTCTAAGAAGAAATACCGTGGACTAACCTCTAAAGAAGGACTAACCTCTACTATCTAGGAATGACTGTCATCTAAAAGGTTTATCAATGACTCCCTATAGGAACAACCGAGGACTACACTCTAGAAAGACTACCAAGACTACCTGATAGCTGATGATGATTCTTCTGTTTGCTGCTGTAAAGGACTAGTATAGGATCTGGTTTTACAGTCGAGACTACTTCTACTCATTCGTAAACCAAAAGCTTTCTCCGACCCTGACGGTAAACTCACAACATCCATTTCTAAAAACAAAATCTTGAAAATCTATGATTTTTAATAAAATAATTTCTCTATCCTAGATTATTTATAAATTATGGATTTTTCATTAAATTGCCATTTTTTATTTTTAAAGGGACTGTAAGCGTAATTTAAGGTAAAATGCAAAAAGATGACAATGCCGAATTTACAACTGTATCCTTAAAAGCGTAGTCTGATCAATTATGAATTATATATTTATGTTTTTCTTTCTGTAAACTGTTTATTTTCATTAGCGGTTTCTCCGCGTAAGTGACTGGCGCATTCTTGATATGAACAAATTTTAAGAAATAAAAACTTTTCTAGTCAGAGAAACGACGATACCTTCCGCATTTTATGATCAGATTAAGGTTTTAAGGGTATCGTTGTAAATAGGGAACTGTCATCTGTACATGGAGGGTCCCTTGAAATTACGCTTACAGTCCCTTTACGCTGGTTTTCAAGTTAACCTCATTAAAAAAAAATCATAATTGCTGACCTTGAGAATGATCTAGAAGAACAAGCTGCTTGTTATCGGCTAGAGATATCGTTATCTCCCGACCCATCTGGTTTCTGAGAATCAGAGGATCCTCATGGATAACCTTCGAGGATGTCCTCTCCATCCCTAAATAGATGACAAGTTTGGACAAAATACTAGATAAATAATAAATAATAGCTGTAGTGCCCGGGGTTGTCCATGGAATTTTAGAAACACTTTATTTTTTTTCTCGAATTTTGAACAAAAAAAATTGAATTAAAAAATTCGATTAAAGGGTTACTTATTACTTAAGTAACTTAAGAGTTCCATAAAAAAATATCAGCCAATATCCACGATTTTTTTTTATAAAATCCGCATAATTTTTGTTAGTTTTTGTTGTACAATGAATACAAAGCGAATATGTTCACAATTGAAATAGAAGATGGGCGCGAAGTGTTCTAAAAGCCTAGTATATATATACTTTGCTTGTATGTCTGTCTGTTTGTTTATATACAATAAACGTCTGAACGGCTAAACCGATCGAGCCCAAATTTTTTTCTATTCACACTGATGGATTTCCAAAAAATACTAATCGTCAATTTTCCCCAGCAAAGATTTGGTTCCATATAATTTCATTTGACTTTACATTTTTTTATTAAAAAAGAATTATACTAAACATAATGTTTCACGTCTATCATGCCGATCCTCAGTAGTTACAATTCTTTGAACAACTCTTCTTTCTCTCTCTCTCTATATATATATATAAATATATAGAAAGATTATACCTGTCAGACTGAAGGATTCAATCATATTGTTCAGAACAGACAGAAAGGTTCTTGTAATTGTTAGCTAAACAGAAAGGTTCTTGTAATTGTTATCTAAACAGAAAGAAAGGTTCTTGTAATCTTAACAGACAGGTTCTTGTAATTGTTATCTTAACAGAAAGAAAAGGTTTTGTAATTAAAATCTAAACAGAAAGAAATTTCTAGTAACATTTTTTATGATGGGGTCAAAATTCAGTAAAGCAAGTTAAAAAATTTAAGGTAAACTTTGCTGAAAAACACAAGGCTTCATGAATAGGGTACAAGTAGTGATGTGCAATCAGTTAATTCGTTTTAGGCTCGTTTCTAGCAGACATTTCTGTCAGGGTAAAAATTTGGCATAGTGTCAGAAAAGCAATTGTCTTAATAAACTATCGGCAAATTTAGACCCTTCTAGAAGATTAAGGCAGAAAACGATTTAAAAGCGATCCGAATGATGTAAAAACAAAAAAGTCATAACGATCATCTCTAAATCGTTTTTGAATTCTTTTAGGAATTGCAAACTTTAATAAAAGCAAACTTAAAAAAAAATACAATTTTGAAATCTTGGAGGGTTAAAAAAACAATAACAAAAAAAAATGAACAGAACTAGGTAGAACGAGTACCTGTAATGCATGAGAAGAGGATAGCTTGAGTTCTGTAAGCGGAGGAAGATTCTCCGGGCAGACGAATGTATCGGGTTCGTCAACGTTGAAGTTTGGGGAGAGCAGAGCAGAACCAAGTTCATTGACAGAGTTACTCTGATAACTGAAATCCAGGCTCCATCTAGAACAGACAAATTAATGGAGGGCAGTTTCCCTGTTAATCTGAACAGAAACAAATCCACCAACACATAATACGTTTTTAATAACAAAATGTTCAAAATTGGCCTAAATTTTTTAAATGAAAATTCTGAAAAGATTTTCCAATCTATAGGATGGGCTGCGATATTATTATACCTGTAATTATAGGATGGGCTGCGATATTATTTTAATTGTAATTATAGGATGGGCTGCGATGTTATTATACCTGTAATTATAGGATGGGCTGCGATATTATTATACCTGTAATTATAGGATGGGCTGCGATATTATTATACCTGTAATTATAGGATGGCCCAGGTTGGTTAATTACTTGAATGGGTTCGATAATAGGTTCCCATAATGCAACCTAGAAACAAGATCAAATTTAGAAACATTTTTTTCATTTATTTTTTATTTTTCAGTTTCTAAATATCAAGATGCAGAGTTGCTTTAGTGTTGAAGATGTTAACTAACTGTTGTAAAAACTGATAAACATACTTTTGTAAAAAAAAAGCTGCAGACTCACTATTATAAAATTCATTGAATTAACTATAATAAGCTGCTACCTTCTATTGTAGTAAGCTGCTTCTAACTCTAGATTGTTATAAGATGCTACCTTACTTTTGTAGTAAGCTGCTTCTAACTCTAAATTATATTAAGCTACTACCTTACTATTGCAGTAAGCTGCTTCTAACTCTAGATTATCATAAGCTCCTACCTTGCCATTGAAATAAGCAGCTTCTAACTCTAGATTATAATAAACTGCTACCTTGCCATTGTAGTAAGCTGCTTCTAACTCTAGATTATATTAAGCTGCTACCTTGCTATTGTAGTAAGCTGCTTCTAACTCTAGACTATAATCAGCTGCTACCTTGCTATTGTAGTAAGCTGCTTCTAACTCTAGATTATCATAAGCTGCTACCTTGCTATTGTAGTAAGCTTGCTCCTAACTCTAGATTATTATAAGCTGGTACCTTGCTATTGTAGTAAGCTGCTTCTAACTCTAGATTATAATAAGCTGCTACCTTACTATTGTAGTAAGCTGCTTCTAACTCTAAACTATAATAAGCTGCTACCTTGCTATTGTAGTAAGCTGCTTCTAACTCTAGATTAGCTCCAACCCATAGTCTCCAACTCCAATTCCTCACCTCCCCCTCAACCTGGAAATAAGATGGGATTGAGAAACTTTATCATAGTAGAAAGGGTCTCAGTTTAATTTAAATACAGTGATATTCTAAATAACCCGGTGTGGCGTTATTTCTGAGTAAACGTTAAATAATGGTAGTAGATTCTACGCAGCAAATTTTCCGCGGCATCCGCGCATATTTTTGCCGTTCACGGCAGTGCGCACAACCGAAATCTGGTATTTTATCTAAAATTTTAAAGTTAGAAATTATATTCATGCACTTAAAATATACACTACATGCTGATATAAAATGTGAGTGCAGAAGTAATTAACTATACATTAAACTCTCATTAGTTGCAAGTATCAGAATCAATTAACAATTAACTTACGTAAACTAAGCTGTCATATCGATCCCTAATGTTAAAACAATTGATTTTTACTGTCTGTCGCTCAGCAAAACTTGATTGATTCTCAAATATGAGAAATACTTTCCCTTAATTTACTGTTTACATTCACAGAATTGTGCGCAAATCCCGCGGAAAATTTGGTGTGTAGAGTCTACTACCACTATTTAACGTTTACCCAGAATTAACGCCACACCGGTAATTATGAAAGCAAAAAAATGGCTGATCACATTTGGGAAATGGAAAAACTAAGACCATTTTGTTCGTGAAAAGAAGACACTTTAAAAAATGCTTCAACTCGAATAGCTCTGGAGAGTTTGTGATAATAGTTTTATAATAAAAAATATACCTAGTATTATAAATTATTAGGTTGCTTATAATGAATGCCGCATACTATTTATCAATTCCGGTTTAGTTAATAGGACTGTAGTAGAAAGGGTATCAGTTTAATAATTTAAAACTTTAAATCTGTGAAAACTACAAATAACAAAATACTAAGCAAAATTTAGGAGGTCACGACCTCCAGGATCATCTGAGGTCAAAAAAGGGCTATGAGAATGGAATCGGAGAACCAAAAAACCTATAATTTGAAACCTCACATGACTTATTTTCATTGATTTAATATCATTATCGAAGGGAGGTCAAAATTGAGGTCGAATACATGTGGGTATATCAGCGCATGACTTATGTGGTAGCAAAAAGTATGGAAACAAAACCAAATGCAGTCTGTACAAAGTTTGGTGTCACAAAGCGTCGAAGGGGGTTACACTTTTTAAAATCCATGAAAAAACCCTGGGCTCACTGAAAATTATATATATCCAACCTCATACTGAAAGTTAATAAACAATGAATATGTCGATAAAGTTTCTAATGACATATTCTAATCGCAAATAACAAAATCAAAAAGTAAATTAAAATATGGGTGATTATTTAGCATATTTCGCCTTTGCAGTGTACATTTCTTATATTCAACTTTTATTACCTTGGATTCAAGAAGAACTAAAGGAACGGTATTATTCCCTCGTCCAGATTCCATTGTAATTATCAGTTGTTTCACCTGAATGATAAATTCTAATTGATAAGGATGAATTTGAGCAGAATCAAGGATAATAAGTAAAGATATTAGAAACACCTTTTTTTATAAATCAATCTTTCAGTCAAATATGTTACCTTGAACATAAGATGTTCATCCCCCAGGTTGCTAACAGTACTTGCAAGAGACATGGTGTCTGCATGCTGCATTAAATCTAGTGCCTCATCTGGTTTCAGATACCACATCTCATCATCGACTATATCAGCTGTTTTCCAGAGATTTTCATCGCTCTTCTCAACCTTTACCTCCTCTTCAAGATCCTCCGGTAAAGCCTGGAAGTTTAGCATGAAGGTATTGTAGCTCTGAAGAAGGATCATGATAGAGGCAGGGGATACATTGAGCACAAGACTAGAGAAGTTCATATCAATCCTGGTTCTTCGACTCTCAGTGTCCTGGCTGAAGTGCATTGCCATGTTAGTGGGCTTCAATATCTGAGCCAGTGTTTGTTCTCGGTCCTTAGGATCAAACTTACAGGTGTGCCCTCTTAAATCATCCAACGTCATGTTAAATGTCAATTTTTCCTGCTGCTGAACAATGTTCATATTGAGCTGTGCATTGAAAAGAATGGCATCAGTGGTTTTATCCTCAATATCATTGACAAGGATAATATCAGGTTCATCCATCCTAAAGGATATTCTCCTTGTCACTGAAACAGGTTTTGCTTCAGATTCAGACTTGTAGTATCCACCCTCACCTAGCCCTGTGGCAGCAAAGAATTCATCATAATCAACCACCTCATTGGGAATAAAGAACTCGCTAATTTTCAGCAGATATGAAACGGATGCAACAACAGTGAAGCTTGAAATCTTGCAATTCAGTAATTCCTCAGCATTGGAAAACCTTTGATAGGTCACATCTACCATGGTACTGTTGTCAACCATCTTAGACTCAAGAAGGCGAACTATTCTGCCTTGAGCTGAATCCAAACTATGTCTAGTGTCTTCTAAAATAACATTCTTAAGGGTAGCAACAACATAAAGTTCTTCATCAGCAGTCATGGCTCCATAAACATTAAGCTGATCGATACTAATTTCTCCTAAAGAGTCATGCTGGTCATTGCAGTAGCTGTTGTTGAGAATCTGTAGCGAGAACTTTTTAAAAGTAAACTTAAAGTCAGTGGTTTTAGCTTTTGGTGATACTTCTTTCTTTTCCTTATCTGCCAAGACTTCTTGAGATAAAAGACTTGCTCTGCTGCCTCTTTGGTAATTAGGTTTTATGGGAAGATTTAGTTTTGAATTGGTTTTTATAGACATGGGTACAGCTTTAATGACACCTTTTTCTCCAAAGTTCTTTGACAACAATGATATAATATTGTCGTAATCTTCTTTGAGTAAATTAATCTTTACCTGTTCCAGTACACCAGTAACCTTGATATCTGGAGGATCAGACTCGTTAACTGCTCCATTCATGTTCCTAGCCAACTCCATCTCGAATGAAATTGGCTCAATGATAGTAAACTTATTGTGACTGCCTGTCTCTGACCTACACAGTGTTATGTTTGAGAATTCAAGGCTCAGCTCATCCATTAGGAACTTCTCTGGTGTTACTCTGTGTCTGTTACAGAGCAAAAGTCTACCAAGATTAGCTTCAAAGGTGGTCTTGCTTTCTGAATGTATGGGTATAATGATAACTGGAGCTTTGATAGAGATGTCAAGCTTAACTCTTGTAGCAGAGCTGTATATCTCTTTGGCAAGATTCACTGTTCTCTCACTTGCCTCAGCTGAAAGCTCCATCACATACTCTTTCATGTTAGTAAACGGGTCAATAAAGAGAAGCAAGTCCTTAACATATTTCATGAGGAAGACAACACGAAGTTGAGACATATTTGCCTTCACTAAGACATCAGGCATTCCTTTCTCCTTATCTAGCTCATCTACATTATCATTTAGAGTAATGTTGACATTGAAAACCTCAGCATCAGTACTTTTAGCAATCATCTTGTATTGAGTTCTTTCACAAGAATCAAAAACTTGGAATTCCATCAACTTGGCATTGATGGTGGTTTGGGAGCGGGAAATACGAAGATCAGCAACTAAATTTTCTGCACGCATGCTTGAGAAATCTGCATAGCTTGTCATCAAAGAGAAACCAACCTCCTTTAGCTGAGCAAAGAACCTAAACTGCACTGGCTCTTCAACTATCTGTGATTTACTTCTAGATGCAACACGACCTTTAGGTTTATAAATGCTTTTCATAAGACCTCCAGATGCATCATTCCCACCTGAATTCTGTCTCGAAAGTCTTCTTGCGCCTTGTCTCTTCAGTCCCAAAGGAGAGTCCCTATTTGGGGTAGTTACAGGAGTCTTAGGGGCTTCAGCTGCTACCATTAGTTTAGATGCTCTAGACTGAATGTTTGTCATCCAAAGAGCTGACTCTTTTGCCAAATCTAAGATGGCGTCCTGATGGACACAGAAGTGTACAGAGGTTAAGATTGCATCTATTGACTGCTGAACTCCGGCCCAGTCTGGAGAATTGGGGTTAAGCTTGGTATACTTGATTGACAATAGCTTCTGGTCTTTGTATAATGTACTGTCTGTGTTAAGCAGTTTAACAGCTGAACCATCTGGCATTTTAAACTTGACATGTTCACAGACACAAGAGTTGATTTCAAACTTTCCAACAAGACAATGCTTCTTAACAAGGATCGTTGAGCCCATTCCATTAATCTCAAACTTAAACAAAGGAATCTCATTTTTCTCAATATCCAGTTTCAACTTTTCAATGTTAAATGACATGTCTAGCTGAACAACATTTGAGGCAATTGAGGTTTTGGACTCTCTTTTTAACTCTGGGACATTCACTGGAACAACAACATTCTTTTTCCTCCCAATAAAAAATGAGTTTGCAGAGGCACCAAGACTGGAGACAGCACTACTGAAGGATGCATCTGAGTCAGTTCTCTTTAAGGTTTGTTTACTTACAAACTTATCCTCATCATCAGGATCAAGGATCTTCTCCATCAGCTCTGCTAGCATGAGAAGCCTCTGCTCCTCAATACAAAGACCAAGGACTGGAAGACCTCCGTGCAACTTCGTTATTGGAAAATCTGGATCATTTTGAATCAGACAGTACTTAAAGCTGAAGTCTACATTTATCGGTTTCAAGAGATGCAGTTTTGAATTCTTGTTGCAAATTTCAAGTCTCCAGTTTTCATCTCTAAAATAAATTGAATATTGAAAATGGAACTTGAAAAGTAAAAATATTTAATGATTCTAATTATTGTTTGCATGATGAAATAAGAATTCTTTAAAACAAACAATTTCGCTCAGTTTAAATAATTAGGCAAGAGTCACCAATGTTAAGGCATAAATAGCAATAGTAAGTTTTGCGCAAACAAAAAAAAATGAAAATAAACTGCATCAGTTGGATTACATAAAGAAAGGAAAAATAAGGGCTACAAATACAAAAAAGGAATTGGGAAGCCAGTCTACCTGAGAGCCAGCATAAGCTCCATATTTTCCAGCTTGATGGTAAACTTGTCGTATGCCTGCTCCAGAAGGTTCTCCTTTAACTTCGCCTCAAACATCTTCAAAGGATCAAGACCACTCTGTATAAATATCTTATTTCATCAAAGTAGGAGAGGCAGAAAGAAAGAAGCTAAAAAGTTTCCAACTTTTTTTTACAAATTTTGACTGTCGGCTTAATCTCAAGGTAAACTCCATTAGTTGCAAAATTCGATTGAATACCCTTTATATCTTTGCTTGGGCAAAGATAGTGTATAAAGTGAATTATGCAGCAGAGACAAGGATGGCAAATAGAATTAATCTCTTTCCAGGTAATAAAAGAAGATACTTTCCTAAATTTGACCTGGCCGAATAAAGGATTTTGTTGTTAAATAAAGGGTTACTTGAAAAAATGCAAACAGTTCCTTGAAAAAAAATTGAAACATAAAAAATCTGCGTCATGTATTTTTTTGGATAAAATAGTTGCCTTGAGGGCTTCTAGTCCACCCTGCTTCTTGCTGTTCTTCATATTCTGAGTGACCTGACCGCTCTTGATACTAATGCTACCAAGGTTAGCTATTAAAGCAGGACATCCCTCGGTATATACACCACGGTACGGGATCACAATATATGAACTCTCTAATTGAATATTTACATCCATGAACTTGTGGTTCTGGATGACATACTCCCATCCCAGTTTACTCATTCGAACCTCTTTGTACTCCTAGGCATTAATATTGGAATTGATTGTGTTATTTTATGGCTGCATATAAACTGTAAAAACTTTAGTTTTCTGCAAATCAAATTTAAAATTAGATTTTTAGCGGGTTTTATGCATTTTAGTTGTTTTTATGTCCAAAAAATAAAAGCAGTAAATTACGAATTATAAACATTTTTTTCCCGTTCTTTGATTACAAAACAAATAGCTGCGGCGAAGATTTAAACCACTTTTCAAGTTTTAAGTTACTTAAAAAAGATTATTGTAAGCTTATCTAATCATTTGATGCTATTTGTTATTTTACAATTTTCAACGTTTACACAAAATATACATCTACATTTCTTCTAGACTGGGGGAAGATATTATATTAGGAAAAATACCAAGTAAATTCTTTTTAAATTTAGGGACAGCGCACTGTCAGAACAAACAAAAAGTTTAAGAGTTGGTTAAAGAATGGGTAAAAATAAAAATAACTAAAAATAAAAATTTTAGTAGAAAAAAATATGACAATATTAACATTCCTTCATAGTTTCCATAGCTGTCTCCTGTAGATACGAGATCTGAAGTTCCTCTGGGGGTTTAAATATTTCCATCACATGGTTCACTGTCTTCATATCGTAGATGATCTCTAGGGGGGAGGAACTGATGAACAATCTACGATCGTATACTGATCCCTTGTCTTCGTCTAGATTACCTCCTTCGTAAAATATAAATTAGATAGTAACATAATATTATTATTATTATTATTACCAATCAACCTATAGATTAGAAAGTAACATACTAGTATTATTATTATTAAATAGTCATAGACAAATACACTATTAGTATGATATATTTGTCGAACACTCAAATTATAAAATTGAATTTGAAATTTTGGTGTCAGACAAAATATTAAGTTTAAGTTTACAATGAACTTGTGAAATTAATGCAATTTGATTTGTTCTCCATTTTCTATTATATAATCCATTTTTAAAGGGGCTGTTAACAGAAAATTTAAGTGAACCTCCGTTTAAAAAATCATAGGTACGTTTTACTACGGTATCCTATAAAAGTGACTTGCATATGTCTGCTTACATAACAGGATATAGAAATACTACAGAAGCAATGGAGTTAAGTTTCAGAAATAAACATTTTTAAACTTAAAAAACGACTAACGAGATAACAGTTGAAAATATACATATGTGAACTGTGTCACTCCTTTCTGAATGGAAGGTCACTTGAAATTAAACCGACCTTTCCCTTTAATGATTTGGAAATGTGTCACATTTGACACCAACGATATTATGTATAACGCCTTCAAAATCTTAAATCTTCTTTAAAAATATGATTTATTGGATCCGCTGGCAGATTATTCTCATATTCTACAGATAATATATCACCTGGATCCGCTGGCGGATTAATCTCATATTCTACAGAGAGTAGATTACCTGGATCCGCTCGCGGATTAATTTTTTAGTCTACCGAGAGTATATCACCTGGATCCGCTGGCGGATTATTCTCATATTCTATTGAGATAGATTACCTGTATCCGATGGCGGATTAATCTCATATTCTACCAATAGTAGATTCCCTGGATCCGCTGGCGAATTCATCTGATATTCTACTGAGGGTAGATTACCTGGATCCGCTGACGGATTTATCTTGTATTCGCCCAAAAGTAGATTACCTGGATCTGCTTGCGGATTAATATCATATTCTACCAAGGGTAGATTACCTGGATCCGCTGGCGGATTCATCTGATATTCTACTGAGGGTAGATTACCTGGATCTGCTGGCGGATTAATCTTATATTCAAACAAAAATAGATTACCTGGATCCGCTGGCGGATTAATCTCATATTCTACTGAGAGTAGATTACAGTTCTGTAGAGTAGATACAGTTGTTATCACTTTAGGAGCACTCTTATCTATATCTATTCCTGTAATCAGTAATATCTAATTATTATCTCACTATAAAGTAAATAATTTCTAATCATTATCATAACATCATCTAATCATTATCTAATTATTATCTAATTATTATCTAATGATTATCTAATTATTAAAATGATTACCTAAAGATTATTTAATTAGTAATTAGTAATAATATGATTAATATTATCTAAAACCCAGCTTTTTCCATTAATTATTATTATCTAAAAATTAGCTTTTTATTATTATTATTATTATCTATTGATTTTCAAATGATCATTATCATTGTCTAATTATCATATAATTAAAATCTAATAATTATAAGATTATTTATTATTTATTATATCTAACTATTATAAAAGCACAATGTATCCATTATCTAATTAATTTCATATTATTTTTCAATTATGATTCAGTCATTATTGTCTAATTACAGGGTGGCCAAAACTTTTTTGAACCCATCCGTAAAAAAATCCGTGCATTTTCAGAAGAAATCCGTACAATCCGTACAATTTTAGAAAAACAATCCGTACAATCCGTACATTTTTAAATAATAGAAATAATAATAATAATAATAATAATATTCCCAAAGGTACTTCTGATTGATAATGTGAAAGATATCATGGTTTTCTAGTTTGAAAACGTTTAATTCTCACAATTTCCTTCATTGGTTCTACAGCAGAAATCCGCAAGTCATTTTAAAGAGAACTCACAAATGAAAAATTAAGAAATGGATATTTTATTCATTCATTCAGACAAAGTTTTAAGGGTACCGTTGTTAATCGAACCTGACACTTAATACACGGAGTGGAGGGCCGCTCCAAATTTTGAATTTAGTCTCTAGAAATAAAACAACATAAAATGTCTGAGATTAAATAGGTTCCTGAGTTCTTGCATCTGTATATTCAGATCTATCAGAGATTTCGAGAAATCTACTTTCTTAGGATCCGGGCACCAGCATAGATCAGCAGATACACTTACAGGTCCTAGTAGGTACTTCAAGCCCTAGATAGATAGATAGAAAGATATATAGATAGATAGATAGATATAGATAGATAGATATATAGATAGATAGATAGATATATAGATAGATAGATAGATAGATCAGCAGATACACTTACAGGTCCTAGTAGGTATTTAAAGCCCTAGATAGATAGATAGAAAGATATATAGATAGATAGATAGATAGATATAGATAGATATATATATAGATAGATATATATATAGATAGAAAGATAGATAGATCAGCAGATACACTTACAGGTCCTAGTAGGTACTTCAAGCCCTAGATAGATAAATAGATAAATAGATAGATAGATAGATAGATAGATAGATAGATAGATAGATAGATAGATAGATAGATAGAAAGATAGAGATAAAGATAGATAGATAGATAGATAGATAGGTAGATAGATAGATAGATAGATAGATAGGTAGATAGATAGATAGATAGATAGATAGGTCCGCAGATACAATTACAGGTCCTAGTAGGTACTTCAAGTCTTATATAGATAAATAGATAGATATATAGATAGATAGATAGATATATTGATAGATAGATAATTGATTAATGTCTCATCAAGGATGTGATCCACACGACTAAAATCCCATAAACTTATCAACGCCACTACCACTGGGCACGATGTCGTTAGCTATCGATGTCAACAAGGATTGGATGCTAAATTAGAGAAGCTTATCCTCATTCCTCATATTTGGTTCCTGAAAATTCTGAGATCATATTAATTGCGTTTTTTTTTGGGGACTTTTTCAAGGCTTTCACAGTCTCCTATACTCCAAGGGTTCCAAAAAGATGTAGTATACTCAAAGTGGGATCTTACGTACTGTAGATATAATCTTAGAAAAATCTTCCTGTCTCTGAAATGGAAAGCTCTGCTGACACTGTTGAGAGATATTTTGCTTTTCTTACCGCTTCTGAGCATTGTTTACTTGGTTTTCAGGGACCTCCATATGTAAACCTAGGTCCTTTCCCACAGATTTAGGAAGCAGAATTCCGTTCATAGATATATAGATAGATAGATAGATATATAAATAGATAGATAGATAGGTAGATAAAAAGTTAGATATATTGTTAGGTCAGTAAATACACTTACAGGTCCTTGTAGCGTGTACACATTCTTTGAATGCGAAATAATAATAATAATAGGTACTTTAAATCCTAGATAAATAGATAGGGAGACAGATAAAGCAAGATATATTAAGATATGTAGTTAGATAGACAGCTAGTTCAATAGTTTTATTTAAAGAAAAACAGTCAAAGGAATTTTCGAAGCTTTTTACAGGCTAGCATATTGACCTTTATTATTTTCCCGAATATTTTAATTAACAAAAACAATAAAACATATCCTTGAAAATATACGAAAATATCAGGGAGGAGGGGGGGTGGGGATATATGGCCCAGTCAAACCTTTATTCCATCCTCATTCCTTGCAATTTTAGCCTGGAATTGTATATCCCGTACACCATCATCCGAGTAACCTTGCTCTAAATAATTAAACATTAAAATAAAGTTAAAAATTAAATGGATAAATGGGCCAATCAAAGACGACTATGCAAGTTATCGAAAAGAGACATGTTATATTTCTTTCACTAAATGGCAATAAGGCAAACCTGAAAACCTAGCAAAAGTGCTTAGGATCCGGATCCATTGGATCCGCAACATGTTGGCTCCCTGGATCCTGATCCTCAAAAATATGCGGATACATGCATGGATCCGGATCCAAGGACAAAATCAAATCTTAATGGTTAACTGACACAAATCTAGTTAACTAACAAGAGATTAAACAAATGTCCTAATCTCTGAATGGCTTATTAAATTTCAGCATAAAAATATGCGCCAATGGAAGAAAATTGTTGAATATTTTTATTTGTTAAAAAATCATCAAATCTAGAGGAATTGTTCAGGACCTGGATCCAGAACAATATGTGTATGCCCATCAGTATGAAATTAATCCTATGCACTGCTAATAATAATAATAATAAAAAGGTGAATGAAGAGATGATTAACCTGAATACATAATTTTCTCGTGAGGCTGCCAGTAGAAAGCAAGACTAGAGATATCAACGCTTTTAAGGAAATATTTCTGGTTACTCGCCATCGTCTGGAAATTAAATTCATCTTTAAGGCATATTTTTTTCTTCCAGAATTCTGATTTACACATCTGGCCTTTACCAGGAAGAGGCGAGGGATCGTTATATAATAGTTTCCAAAAATCAACTTGGGCTTTTTAATCAGCAGTCAAACATTTTATAATGCCTTTATAGGAACAAGTAAACTCCTTTACCCAAACATCTTGTCTGTCAACCAAAACTTCATTAATTCAACCGAAAATTCATTATTCTCAATAAGATTTTGAAAAGAGGAAGGGGGGGGGGATTATAAATAAAGGCATAAACAAATTTTATATTTTTCTTGAAAAAAGTCTACCTTGTCCTTGTTTGTTCTAATCTCAAGTTTATCTAAACTAATCCCTGCTCCGAAAGGATAACCTAAATACACCAATATTTACAAATGTTCAGAACCATATCAGGAAAAAAAAAGAAAATAAATGTTAAAAAAGAACCTCTGTTGGTGGAATTGTCCTCGATTCTGATATGAACATCTCTGCAAAACGTTTAATTAATTTATACATTGTAACGTAAATCGTTAAAACAGAAAATAAGTTAAACTAACTTCATTTTGACGAGAATTTTTTTTTTTTTTTTCATGAAAAATTTGCTGAAATGAGTGAAAATTTAAAAAAAACGGTGTATTTTCCAGGATAAAAATCCGTACAATCCGTACAATTTGAAAACAAATCCGTACAATCCGTACAATTTTAGGGTTTAAAAAAATCAATCCGTACAATCCGTACATTTTGGCCACCCTGTAATTATTAAATGATTATTAACTTATTTTTATTTAATTATTATCTATGTATTTTCTCACTATAATTTAAGTTAGATACGTATAAAATTATATAAGTTACTATGGTTTAACCTGTAACTGTTAAACTCTGCATAGCTAAACTGACCAGCATATTACCAGCTGCAGGCCGTTGGGTTATTTCCATACTAAACAATTTGTCCATTAATAGAAAAGAAAAAGAACAATACATAAAAAAAAGAAAAACTGCTTTTGATTATTTAATTATTGTTTAGATTTACGATAAAGAAAAAGAAGCAAATCAGCAACAAAATATAAAATTATTACTAAAAAGAGAGTCCCAAAGCAAAATCTAAGAGCATTTATTTATTAACCGGATCTTGATCCATTCTTTACAGGACGAATTCAGATTTCGAATTCATTCTTTGTATGACGGAATCATAATCCAAATTCATTCCTTGTAGGACGGATTCAGAATCTAGATCCATTGTTTACAGGATGGATTCAGAATTTACAGGATGGATACAGAATTCGAATCAATGCTTTTCAGGACGGATTCAAAATCTTGATCCATTCTTTACAAGACGGATTCAGAATCTCAATTCATTCTTTACAGGGCGGATTCTGAACCTGGATCCATTCCTCACAGGACGGATTCAGACCCTGGATCCATTCTTTAAAAGACGGATTCAGAATCTTAATTCATTCTTTACAGGACTGATTGTGAACCTGGATCCATTCTTTACAGGACGGATTCAGAATCTGGAAGAGAAGGGTCTAAGCAAACCTGGAGGAGACAGCTTATAAAGAAGTTCCAACAACTAAACCTAAATATGGCCTCAGCTGAAGCTGCAGCTCAGGATCGAAGAGGTTAAAGTACTCTTGTCAGTGGCCTAAGCTCTACTCCGGAGTAAACAGGCTGGTAAGTAAGTAATTCATAATCTGAATACATCCTTGGAAGGTCGGATTCAGAATCTGAATCCGTTGTTTACAGAACGGATTCAGAATCGTGTGAAAATGGAATGGATCCTAAGTATTGTACCTGACAGTATCAAGGTGTAGGGTGAGAACACTATTATCCCTAAGATCTTCATCAAGAAGTTCTATTCTGAAACCCGCCAAGAGGAAACCAAGCCTAGCTCTCACAAACCTGAAAATCACAACTAATTATTTATTAATTATAACCTTCTTTGATTATACTGACAACGGAACGTTTGTGTGGATATTGTTAATCTTGAACACTTAATCTCGTAATCCAATGTGGGCACTTTCGAATTTGAGGATAAAGGCTTGATCCCTGATTAAAGTGGTCCCTGCAGGGAATAACCAATACCGGATATCGAAGAGCAATTAAATTAAACCGTAGATATGCATAAGATGGAGATCATTGCTTGATTCCGAGATTGACAACACATAAGTTCTGAATACTTCTGAACACATATGTTAATATTTCAAGCTAAAAGAAAGGGGTTAAGGATTCACAATCACAAAAAAACTTTTTTTTCCCCCGGTGACATTGACATTTTTGCGACTTTTTCTTATTTTTATAATTCAAGCTGATAAACCTTCGAGGATACTCTAGTGTCCCCTCCTCTGCATCCTCCTGATATCCAATAGCATCATAGAGTTTAGCACGTTCATCTGGGGTTAAAGCTTTCTCAAGTTCTCCAGCATCTTCCTGTCAATCAATTAATCAATTAATCAACTATTCAATAACTTAATTATCAAAGCATTCATCCCGTAACAAATCCATTATTTTCTCAATCAATCTATCTTTTTTTTCTATCTTTAAATCCATTCTTTGGTTAATCAATAAATCAAATAATAAATTCCTAAATCACTGATAATATAATTGATGATTGATACGTCTGTATCATGTGATCACAACTTCCACCAATAGCAGTGCGGTATCATTGGTGAAATTCTGGTCATGTGATACAGACATATCGATTATACTATCAATTATATCTATTAAAAATGAATAAGTAACATATTCAAATTATAACAGGAGCGTACCTAAGCTGTTCAGGCTTCTCTGGACGATTATAATTTTTAGATTCAATTCAATCAATTAATCAATCAATAAAATCTAACCTTGTTCTCCTTCTTCCCCCAGAACCAGTTAAAATATCCTTGTTTAGCTTCCTCTTTACGCCGAGCACTAGCTGCAGTCTCAGCTAACTCTCTAATTATTAATCTTATATAGCATAGCCTCGAAATTGTATGTTTATTTGTATGTTACACCAAATCGTAACACTTAAAGATGTAAAAAAATTGCAATATTCGCCCCCTAAAAAATCGATTTTTTTAACCTTTGTTACCCCGAGGGTACCCATGAGTTTTCTATATTCTATTAAAACATTCTGAATAATAAGATAAGACTCTTTATAAAAAAATTTTGAACCAAAGAAAAAATCCCTGTTAAGGATCCGGATCCGATTCTGCAAAAATATGCGGATCCACTAATCCGGATCCAAGGGTCAAAATATCAACAAAAAAACTGCAAAAAAAACTTATGCTCTTAACCTCAAATCTGAACTGTGAAAGAAGAGAGAAAATGAAAAATTTCCTTAATCTTCTGTAAGGTTAGTAAAGTTTTAGCATAAAAATAAGCTAAAAAAGAGGAAAAAATTCAAAAATTATTTTTTGTTAATAAAATCAGTTTATATTGAAGAAATTTTCATGATCCGGATCCGAATCCTTTTTTTTCTGTGCGGAGTCAGGATCCGGATCCAATGAAAAAATGCAACTTGAAATGACCTGTTTAAATTGATGTTAAAAACATCTAGAATAATCTCAAGTTCTTCTAATCTCTTGTTAAACTCAACACTCTTGCTTCCCAGCAACTTATCCTAAAAAAATCTTGTTAAATGGCCTGTTAGCGTAATTTCAAGTGACCCTCCATGCAAAGATGGCGCGGTGATTTCCGATTTTCAACGGTACCCTTGAAACCTTAATCTGATTCGAAACGAAAAGTGTTTGTTTATGTACGGTTCTACGTTGCTTCTTATACAAAATGAATGCGCCAGTCACTTTAGCAGAGAAACTGTTAATAAAAATGATCAGTTTAAATATAATATAATTCATACTTGAATCAGAGTAAGCTTTTATGGATAACGTTGTAAATTGGGCATTGCCATATTTGCATATAGTGTGACTTGAAATTACGCTCCCGGTCCCTTTGACTAAATAAATTGAATAGTACCATTAATAATTCACAACGATAGCCGTTACACCATTACTGTTGAGTGATAATGTATATCCTCTTATTTTAGTCCAGGGACCAATAAATATTTCGCTATGCGTGAAGGTTCAGGGCCCAGCTGTGTGGACGTCTCCTATTTTGTTTCTGTTAAGTGATTGATAAGGTTATGATTGCTTGATATTTGACTCGGATTTCTTCTGAGAATAAACATGATTAGTTAGAGAATCTAGTGTGATCAGTTTTATCTTTATATGGGGCTTGAGGTATGATTTCTTGTGTATGTTAAAGACGACCAGTTTTGGCTTCAAATGTCTTGTACATTTGCAACTAGTTTTGGAGAGTTATTTTCACGGGTAGAATTAATTTTTTGGGTTCGGATTTTCTGATATTTTTATAATGTAAAAGTGTTTAGATTTATGAGATTACAGTTAGTATAGTTTGTTTGTCTAGTTTTGACCCCGGAATTGTGGACTTTTGCAGACTAGTATATGCGAGTAGTATTAAATCTGCAGTCCCAAGGATAAGATCTGGAGCTCAAGGTGGAAAGGTAGATTCATGTTGTCTTTTTACCAAGTACGATTTATATGAATGTTTACGGGTCGTATTGTCTAGAATGATTCAACAATTACCAATGAGCATTTATGGAGTCATCTTTGTTTTCCATTTTTTTCCATTTAAACAAGTTCTACTTAAAATTCTAATGGATGATATTGTGAATCTCTGTTGGCAAGTGTTGCTTTAAATGTTGTTGATAATCTTTTTATCCAATTTTCTCGATTAATTTTACTTCTATTAACTTTTAAATTGTTGACAATTTTGAAATTAATTTGTTTGCACCTTATAGAGTTCTCTGTATTCCCTGCAGTTAGCTGTATGCTGCATTATATGCTTCAGATTCCAGTTCTGTAGTTTAGGCCGAACTTCTTCCTCTAGTAGACAAAGAACAAATTTAAATGGAAAACTTCAGAAAGTAAATCAAATCCTTTCACTGCATTAATTTTCTTAAAGGGGTGTCGATGTAATTTTAAGTGACCAACGGCCATCCATTTTATAAGGGGCATGCCCGATTCAAAACGAAACCCTTGAAAGAAAACGCAAGAAATACGGAATCACAAGCACAGAAAAAACCATAAATAAAAACAAACAGTTTCCAAAACAAAAACATGGATATCAAATTAATATATGTTCAGACAAAGTTTTTAAGAATACCGTTGTTAATCGCACATTACACTAAATCAATGTATGGTCACTTAAAATTATGGTTACCTTTAAATACAATTTTGACCACAATACTTGACCCTAAAAAGGCTGATG